GAATGTTGATGATGAGAGGAGACAAAGCTGTGGGGCCCAACTGGCCCGTTGTATTGAAAGCTTAGAAATCTTCGTCGCTACCGATCGGATCATTTGACTCGGTATGATGTGATGCGTATGAAAATAGAGAGAGACAGCAGTGTTTCGGCCGTTCGGAAATACAATGGTAATTAATGTACTGAATCGCTTTCTCAGTTGGCGGTTCCACCTTGCTTTATCCAATCGAAGTGCTATTGAGATCGAAACAGATTGTTCGATGTGTTTTAAAGCTTGCTGACCGACAAAAGTGATGGCGAACTTCAAACCAGTTCTCTTTTTTACTTCGTGTCCCGTGAGCCAAACGAACAAAACGTGAACCCTTCCCCTTGTTTTACCCTTCAGTACCCGTGTGAGTAAGTGCGAGTAGTAAGTCGTAGCGTGCCGTACGTACTGAATGTCTCGTAGTGACGTACAACCGAGGCGGCGCCGGGGTATCCCTAATCCCTAATACCTAAGGCATACCGTGGGGGTACCGTAGTATTTCGTATTTCTTGAATTGATTTGGGTGGTGGTTTCGTCATCATTAGTGAACCGYGAGTCCAGTCCCGGGTATGAACTTGTACATACTGTAGTGTACAAGGCCAGAATTCCAGTTCCACTTTTACCCCTGGCCATAGGTACGTACGTACAAGTACAACGTACTCGTGGTAAGCTGTCCTCGAACTCGGCTCCGTCACGAAGCAATGGTACGTACTTGGTACAGTACTCGTAGAAAGTACTGCGGTACTCCATTAGTCTTAAAATGACCACCCGACTCGCAAATCCTTAGCCGTTATGATTTCTGCCCGTTGGTGTTTCCACGGTTTGGATTAGCTCACATTTTTTCTACTGAAAACGAATGTGCCTCCATCATCGATATCATCGATAATCGTGTACCGTGCCGTACAAGAAACATTCTGCACCTACCTTTCTTCAAACTGCGTACCATACTCACACCATTCAGGTTTCAAAACGAATTATTCTCAACTGCATCCATCGRGAATGATTAAAAACCTATTGAATCGGTTTCTGCAAATTTTCTTCACTACTGCGCTTCGTATACATTCAACGATGATAGAATTGAAACGGAAACTGTTCCCGGAATCGTCCACTGGTCTGATTCCCGATGATGTGATATGGCGAGGATCTAAGCAAAAGAGGAACGCACCTGGTCCCCGTCAAAAAAAGGAAATTTCAACTGTAAATGGGACGATATCAGCGCTACTTGTTGGGGATCGTCTTGCGTCAATACCTCAAAAAATACGGAAGGAGAAACGCCAACGAAGCGCCAACATGGACAATGGTCTCGAACATTCTGTCTTGATGGTTCTCAATGGCAAAGAAAAYATCAAAAGCAAAAAGGGAGGCAGGTCACGACGGAAAGCAAAAAATCAGCAGAAAAATCAAACGAAARCAGGGGTCACTGCATTACTTGAAAAGCGAGATCTGTCGTCAAATTTAGTTCGGGGTGGTATGTTAACATCCCTCGAAGTCACTGGTAGATCCCGAAGCAGGTGTCAATCGCGGTCTTTGGCAAGTAATCCAACTCTGTCAAAACCAAGGAGAAGAGGGAATGCAAAGAAGACAACTCAGAAAATGAACCTAACGAACTCGACTGACAATAATGKCGACAGTTTGTTGTTTTGCCTTCCGAATAGTTTGACGACGAACAAACATTTTCAGTCAAAGACAACGCTGGCTCAAAATGATTCCAAAAGATCACGAAGGACAGAGATCCTCGATAAAAAGCAAGAACGGAAGACATCAAAGMCTTCGAAGCCCTCGACTCAGAGAATATTGCAAATTGCAAAAAGTGGAAACTATTTTCAGTCGAGTGTTGGAGAACCATCTCGCCAGATTCCGATGCAGGAAAAAAAGCCATTACACAGAACAAAAGACAAAACGAAGAGATCACAAGAAACTTGTGGGCTAGGAGCATTTATTGCGATTATAGCTGAAAATAAGACCAATCAATGCTCCAGAAAAGAAAAATCTTTGAGGAGATTTGTGTCGCCTCTGGAAAATAGTGTGAAAAATAATTCCATTCTTTCACTGAACGAACAGGGGTCGGCATCGTCATTTCCAGTGAACACAACTAAAATGGAAACTATTGGAATGAAAACCACTACATTGAGTGATATACCAAACTTCATCATTGTACCRATATCTCAACAGATAGAACCATCTTTGGAAACCGCAGACGTAGTTCSCAATGAATTTGAGAAGAASGATAATACGGCAGAAGCGGAAACYAATGCAKCAGCGGCMAAGGTATACCCAAAGGATTGGATGATATCGTCTAAAAAAGTTCATAGGAATAAAACTCGATTAAAACACAAAAATCGAGCAGCATCGCCACAGTCTCCGAGAGAAATCGAACACGAAGCGAATCCGCCAAAATACGCTCCGGGGACAAAGTTCGTAAAACACTTCCCCTCCCACGGCTTATTTTTTGGAAAAATTGTTGCTTTTGAACCTGAGTCAAGCCTTTATAATGTGTATTACGAAGACGGAGACTCCGAAGACTTAGAAGAGTCAGAGTTGGAYGAGTGCAAGATTCTGTCSACTAGCTCCGTATTTGGTGAAGACGGYGACCAGGAACAGCTGAAAASAATCTCAATCCTTCATAAAACTGAAGAGAAGAGTTCAAAAAATGTTTGCARCGATTCGAAGGGAAATCGAACAACAGATGCTTCTAACAACGAAGAATCTAATTCAGATTGCGATCCATCAAAATCTTYAGATAAGAAAATTCAAAGCAAGATATCTGAAAAGAACAAACTTACAAATAATCAAAATGCCCGCACCTCTYCCAGGGAATCAAGAAGACAGTCAAGAGAAACCCACAGGAAGCTATTCTCCGTAGAGTCTTCGTCTCACAAAGGAGACAAAAAATCATTTACAAGGAGATCAAAAAGACGGAGAAGCCAGCCCATCAGACTCATTGATTCGTCTTGCTCAAAAGATCAACGAGAGACACGATCCAATAGTAGAAAGAAAAGAAAAGTATCGCACCAAAAAGGCGCGAACGAGATCGTCAAAGAGCACAAAATAGGTGAAGACACAACCTCTCGTGGTGACGAGCTTTTGACGTCAAGTCAAAACCAGCCATTATTGCCYTCGGATGACGTCCAAAAGTGCATGAAAAAGAARCACGTTGATGATGCTCTGAGAGCAGTGATGCCAGAAGGGAACCAGGGGCAGTTGACCGGGGATTCTGATCAAACRGAAGACGACATTTTCAATTCAACTCCGATGCGAAAGTTATTCACGAGAAGTGGATCGAACGATACTAAAYCCAATGRGAAAGAAGAGCACGAACAAGAAGAAGGCAAGAAGAGACGAAGGTCTAAAAGAAAGAGTATTGAGCCCGAGAGGTATGGAAAATTCGCAAATTCAGCATCGAAATCCTCGGAAAAGCAAATTARATTGACGCAACCTCTGTCAAAGTCCGCTGAAAAGAAGRTGGGGTCAGTGTCAAGGAAAGAAAAKAACAAGCCCAGAGTAAAATCAAAAGCAAAGAAGCGGGTTCGCATAGTTAACGAACAACCCGAAGAATCGGATGCCGAAAGTTGTTCCGCGTCAAATACAAAAGACCCATGGACASAAACTGATCTGAAAACACTCCACAAGGCACATAGAACTGCAGATCCTACGTCATTTACATTTTGGGAAGATGTTGCGGAGAGAGTAGGTGAAAAATCTAGCAGAGAATGCAGAGAGAAATGGTTTTCTCTCGCGAAAACACCAGAGCCAAARAAATCGAMGGCACAAAAACAGAATAAAGTGAACATCATTTCCACTGGTCATCCTCTCAATGCTGATGATGATATATTCAATTCTACTCCTATGAGAAGTGTATTTGGTATCGGTGAAAACATCAACGCGTCAGCCATCGAGTTCGAAGAGCTTGGAGATATTTCCAATATGAATTTTGGGAGTTCGATCAAGATACATAACCTCAATCACAATGATGATAACATTCTACCACCGACCTACCAGGTGTCATCGTATCCACACGGGTACAAGACATATATACAGAACATTGGCCGCAGCATGAGGCAAAGAGATTCGAAGAAGAAAATCAAGTCATGTGGAAATTCGAGTTATCTCCCTCCGCTAAAGCTAGGAAGGAAAGTCGCTGAGTGTGTCCACGAAGGTGATGTCGAGGTAAAAGGTAGATTGAGTCCAGGGGGTACACTTCATGTAGATACWTTGGGAAACGATGACAACGAAGATTATCTTGATGACGACGTCGAGGACGAGTTGTAATGAACCTACAATAATCCTTTGCACTATTAACTRCTAGTATTGAAGAAATCTGATGTTTCTTTTAGTATTTGGCCTACTAATTCTGAATAATCTGAAGTGAAAAAATAGTGGCAAATACTGTGAAGTGTTTCATAGCAATTAAAATMATCTTACGCAGGGCATTCTGAGTGTTAGTAGGATTAACATTCAGGATATAAGATTAAGGTTTGGAATGTTGATACTRCGAATATCATAACAAGTGATCGCCACACTAAGAAAGTGGTTCCCATAATTARTGATGGCATCCTTCCTTTTTGCATGACAAATTCTACAGAGCTCTACTGAGTGTTGCTCCCCAACATTTTCAGGATGATTTGCCTTCTGAGAAAGAAGCAGGATTGGTTCTGTGCCACCAGAATAGTYGCAAACTACCTCAGTAGATTTTGCACTGTGTTCTACTGYGCTAAGGATGGCATCATTGAATTAACGATGGGAGCCACTTTCTTAGTGTGGCAATCACTTGCRATGATATTCATAGTATATCAATGTAACATATCCCAGTTGYATATYCATTCTTCATTTGGTGGTGCAGTGCCATCCAAAAAAGCTACTAGTATGCCTATARCAACAATTGAAAGTACGTTAATTGAGGCATTGGGAACGTTATTTTACCATTCCAAATGTTAACTTCTTAGCATGTGGCATGTTAGTATATCACTGTAGGCCTATGTAGATCCTAGTATTATCTACATTCTTCATTTGGTAGTGCACTACTAGCATCAAAAACCAATAATTTTGGTCTTRTTTCCTAAAAAAGAGGAAGAAGAGGACACCTCCCCTGCTGACATTCAGAGCATTAAGCAGAGCATTAAGAACATAAAATTGAAACAAAAAACAGCAGTACTCATTTCTACATGGCCCTACACTGTTAACATTTTGAATGTTAAATCAACCTCCTCAACACCTCAATTGACATAATTTCAATTGTTGTTTTWAACATAGTATTCTAGTCTTTTTCATGCCTTAAAAAGGGAAGAAGGACATCTGTGCCTGCTAACATTTGGAATGTTAAGTCAACATTCAGAGCGAATGTCAAATTAAAGCAGTACTCATTCCTAATGTTAAGTCTAACATGTTAACTTTACTAGCATTTAGAATACCTGTCTAACAGGATTTCAACTATTTGTGTTTGCATTTGTCTTTGTGTTTGACTCCCTTGTTCTGGTGGTATTTGSATGTGGTTTAAGTCAGACAAGGAATTCGGGATTTTTCATTCAGGTAGTCTTCTCAAAGGCAGTTCTTCTAAACACACTTTTCACTTCCTCTGATAGATCTGTTGAGGGACTATTACAATTTAAATCTCAAGTCCARTTGGAGGTGCTTCTGTTTTTTCAGGCCAGCACAGACCTGATCTTTATTTCCCTCAACTTCTATCAGTACTGCTGTAGTATGTTTTAGTAATGATATTGTCAGAGTTATGTTACCCATGCAGTCATTTTCAGGTTGAACAGGCAGNACCAGGAGACGGAGGCAACCAGTACTGTTGGTGATGGTTCTGTTCACACCAACGGTTCCACGAAGAAGAATCGGAAGCCTCCACGGAGTGCGCAGTATTTGCATGCAGAGAAGGTTGAGAAGTACAATGAAAACAAGGTAAAAGACGTTGCCTACCTTTCGGTTGCCAAAAAAATCAAACACGAACGTGCACTTGGTAATGCGACCAACGTTGTGGCTATGGTCGCAAAGGTTAACAAGCTTTATAACGTTGAACTCAGTGCAGAAACGGTTCGGCGACGTTTGTGTCTTGGCCTGGAAAATATTCCCCCACGTTGGCAGTCGGGACGTCCCACGACTTTGCCAGCAGTGGTGGAGGCYGCACTAGTTGATGCAATTTGCTCATACATAAACCTTGGTTGTGCTGAGATGACAGAACAACCTAATCAAAAGACAGTGACTGCCATGATAGCTTCTTGTCTTAATGGTGGACCAACCGTACTAAAATTTTTTGAAAGACTTTACGATCGTTTGTCAACTTTGTTTTCACCTCACGTCAAAATTGTTACTGGTTCATCTAAACTTGAAGATAGAAGAGCAAAGTGGACTACCTATAACAATATCAACTTATGGTTCAACGCACACACTGAAGAGTAGGTTGATTTCTGGAGGATGGGCGAGAGAAAAGACGGCAAACGACGGTGGGGTTGAAGGAGAGCTTGTCTTTTTTGAGGGTCAACTAAATCGGATTCTAAACCTAGACGAAAGTGGGTTGACGCTGGACGGTAATCATTCTTTGAGTGGGGGTCGTTCCTCTACAAGATTCCGGTCTTCGAATCCTGCAATTGCATCAGGTGCAGATAGAACGAACAAGAGTATTGTCTGGGTGACTTTTATTGCAGGAAGCACCGCTGCTGGTTCTCCGCTCCCCCCGCATTTTCAACTTAAGACAAAGGCAGAGGATGAGGACAAAAAGATTCAAGATGCTTTCGTTGAAGGCGTTCCCTACATTGAAGGTGTTTACGGTGATAATAAATTGACAGCAAACGGTATCACGGTTAACTGTAATGCGACAGCTGGGATGGATGCAAAGGAATTTAATCAGTTCATGACGGATTC